GACTAGTAGTGATTGTTCTAGAATCACATCCTAAAGGTTCACTTTGTAGAGCCAATCCTGATATCAACTAGCTTATTTTGGGTTCCTGCAAATCAGTGCCTGAGACAGGACTTGTGTGTAGGTAGTTTATTTAGAGATGATTCCAGGAAAGAGAAGTGAACCACCAGGAAGAAAAAGTTATTTGAATATATTTTTATTGTTGCTTTATCAAACTGTATATGACCTTACTTACTTTATCTCTGCTTTCCCTATTTGACTGTAAACTCTTCGAGGATATCTTTACCCATAATATTTACTTCTTTTTATTTTTTTTATTTATGTGTCAGGGAGGAGGGAGAGAGAGAGAGCACAAGCAGGGGGAGTGGCAGGCAGAGGGAGAAGCAGGCTCCCCACTGAGCAGGGAGCCCAATGTGGGGCTCGATCCCAGGACCCCTGGATCATGACCTGAGCTGAGGGCAGACACTTAACTGAGCCACCCAAGCATCCCTATTTACTTCTTTTTAATCAGGATGTGCCTTTTAATTGATGTTATACTATTATCAAATTCACAGGATTTTTTTTAATTCTAAGCGGTACATAAAATAATGGTGCATCTTATAATTTATGGTGCTTTAAGTCAGTGAAATGTGGTGCCTAGTGGTATAATATAGGTGTTCAAATAATACATTACATGTTAAAAAAAAAAGATAGTAGAAAGGGAAAAATGAAGGGTGGGGAAATCGGAGGGGGAGATGAACCATGAGAGACTATGGACTCTGGGAAACAAACTGAGGATTCTAGAGGGGAGGGGGATGGGGGGATGGGTTAACCTGGTGATGGGTATTAAAGAGGGTATGTATTGAATGGAGCACTAGGTGTTATATGCAAACAATGAATCATGGAACACTACGTCAAAAACTAATGATGTAATGTATGGTGATTAACATAACAAAATAAAATTTAAAAAAATAATAATATAGGTGTTCAATAATGTGCTCAATAAACGTACCTAATATATAATAAATGTTCAAAATAGTATGGAATTAAGACTTTTGTTTGGTTCAGAGCTGTGAGTATTTTTCTACAAATGAATTACCTTCCTCTGCTTTATATAAGATTTCTTATTCAGTCTGCCTCACTTTTTGCCCAAGTTATCTGGAAGCCCAGAGCTAACTCTTACAGCCAATTAAAATAAATTAGCTTGCTAACATTCAGCATTATTCCAATGTATCAAGTCTGAAAACAAGAGAAAGGAGATTATATTATTTTGATCAATTAAACGTGAAAAACACCAGCTACCCTTATTACAGGAGGGACAGCCTACTGTATTGAACTCGGGTCATAAGAGATCAGCCCTCTTTTCGCAGAGATAGGCTATATAGAAAGAGCAAATGTGTTTGAGAAGAGGTTCAGTTTTAAAAAGCAAAATTATTGGGACTGAAGAAAGATCTCAGGGAAGATAAAAGAATTCCAGCATGAATCCTTTAGAAACATTCAAAGACTTTCCTGAAGCTAAGTACACATAATCTTTCCTGTGAAATTTCTGTTAATTAATTTATGATGTTGTGCCAGTTGCTTTATAATCTTCATGAAACAGGCATTTATAAGGTGCTTCCTATGTGCCAGACACTGTGCTAGAAGCCAGGCATATAGTGGTGAATAACACAGGTAAGGTCCCTGTTATATAGTGTTTATATTTTCTTGGAGAAGACTGATAATAACAAAGAAATCAGCGAATAAGCACAATGCTCAAAAAATATAAACAGTGGAGCGCCTGGGTGGCTCAATCTGTTAAGTGACTCCCGATTTCAGCTCAGGTCATGATCTCAGGGTCGTGAGATTGAGCCCCAAGTCAGGCTCCACGCTGGGTATGGAACCTGCTTAAGATTTTCTCCCTCCCTCCACCATTACCTTGATCCCCAAACCCAGACAAAGACCCCATCAAAAAGGAGAATTACAGACCAATATCCTTGATGAACATGGATGCAAAAATTCTCACCAAAATACTAGCCAATAGGATCCAACAGTACATTAAAAGGATTATTCACCACGACCAAGTGGGATTTATCCCTGGGCTACAAGGTTGGTTCAACGTCCGCAAATCAATCAACATAATACAATATATTAACAAAAGAAAGAACAAGAATCATATGATCCTCTCAATAGATGCAGAAAAAGCATTTGATAAAATACAGCATCCTTTCTTGATCAAGACTCTTCAGAGTATAGGGATAGACAGTACATACCTCAATATCATAAAAGCCATCTATGAAAAACCTACAGTGAATATCATTCTCAATGGGGAAAAACTAAGAGCTTTTCCCCTAAGGTGAGGAACGTAGCAGGGATGTCCACTATCACCACTGCTATTCAACATAGTATTAGAAGTCCTAGCCACAGCAATCAGACAACAAAAAGAAATCAAATGCATCCAAATCGGCAAAGAAGTCAAACTCTCACTGTTTGCAGATGATATGATACTTTATGTGGAAAACCCAAAAGACTCCACCCCAAAACTGCTAGAACTCATACAGGTATTCAGTAAAGTGGCAGGATATAAAATCAATGCACAGAAATCAGTGGCATTCCTGTACACCAAAACAAGACAGAAGAGAGAGAAATTAAGGAATCAATCCCATTTACAATTGCACCCAAAACCATAAGATACCTAGGAATAAATCTAACCAAAGAGGCAAAGGATCTGTACTCAGAACACTTTAAAATACTCATGAAAGAAATTGAGGAAGACACAAAGAAATGGAAAAATGTTCCATGCTCATGGATCAGAAGAACAAATATTGTGAAGATGTCAATGCTACCTAGAGCAATCTACACATTCAATCAATCCCCATCAAAATACCATCCACTTTTTTCAAGGAAATGGAACAAATAATCCTAAAATTTATATGGAACCAGAAAAGACCCCGAATAGCCAGAGGATGTTGAAAAAGAAAAGCAAAGCTGGCAGCATCACAATTCCGGACTTCCAGCTCTATTACAAAGCTGTCATCATCAAGACAGTATGGTACTGGCACAAAAACAGACACATAGATCAATGGAACAGAATCGAGAGCCCAGAAATGGACCCTCAACTCTATGGTCAACTCATCTTTGACAAAGCAGGAAAGAATGTCCAATGGAAAAAAGACAGTCCCTTCAACAAATGGTGTTGGGAAAATTGGACAGCCACATGCAGAAGAATGAAACTGGACCATTTCCTTATACCACACACAAAAATAGACTCAAAATGGTTGAAAGACCTCAATGTGAGACAGGAGTCCATCAAAATCCTAAAGGAGAACACAGGCAGCAACCTCTCCGACCTCAGCTGCAGCAACTTCTTCCTAGAAACATCACCAAAGTCAAGTGAAGCAAAGGCAAAAATGAACTATTGGGATTTCATCAAGATAAAAAGCTTTTGCACAGCAAAAGAAACAGTCCACAAAACCAAAAGACAACCGACATAATGGGAGAAAATATTTGCAAATGACATATCAGATAAAGAGCTAGTATCCAAAATCTATAAAGAACTTATCAAACTCAACACCCAAAGAACAAATAATCCAATCAAGAAATGGGCAGAAGACATGAACAAACATTTTTCCAAAGAAGACATCCAAATGGCCAACAGACATATGAAAAAGTGTTCAACATCGCTCGGCATCAGGGAAATCCAAATTAAAACCTCAATGAGATACCACCTCACACCAGTCAGAATGGCTAAAATGAACAAGTCAGGAAACGACAGATGTTGGCGGGGATGCGGAGAAAGGGGAATCCTCCTACACTGTTGGTGGGAATGCAAGCTGGTGCAACCACTCTGGAAAATGGTATGGAGGTTCCTCAAAAAGTTTAAAATAGAGCTACCATACGATCCAGCAATTGCACTACTGGGTATTTACCGCAAGGATACAAATGTAGGGATCCGAAGGGGTATGTGCACCCCGATGTTTGTGGCAGCAATGTCCACAATAGCCAAACTGTGGAAAGAGCCAAGATGTCCATCGACAGATGAATGGATAAAGAAGATGTGGTATATAAATACAATGGAATATTATACAGCCATCAAAAGGAATGAGATCTTGCCATTTGCAATGACGTGAATGGAACTGGAGGGTGTTATGCTGAGTGAAATAAGTCAATCAGAGAAAGACATGTATCATATGACCTCACTGAAGTGAGGAATTCTTCATCTCAGGAAACAAACTGAGGGTGGCTGGAGTGGTGGGGGTGGGAGGGCTGGGGTGGCTGGGTGATAGACATTGGGGAGGGTATGTGCTATGGTGAGGACTGTGAATTGTGCAAGAATGTTGAATCACAGATCTGTACCTCTGAAACAAATAATGCAATATATGTTAAGAAAAAAAAAGAAGATAGCAGGAGGGGAGGAATGAAGGGGGAGAAACTGGAGGGGGAGACGAACCATGAGAGACTATGGACTCTGAGAAACAAACTGAGGGTTCTAGAGGAGAGGGGTGTGGGGGAATGGGTTAGCCTGGTGATGGGTATTAAAGAGGGAACATTCTGCATGGACCCCTGGGTGTTATGCACAAACAATGAATCATGGAACATTACATCAAAAACTAATGATGTAATGTATGATGATTAACATAACAATAAAAAATTAAAGAGAAAAAATTAACAGATAAAAAAATAAAATAAAAATAGAGAAAAAAAGATTTTCTCCCTCTGTCTCCCTCTGCCTCTCCCCCCCCATACACTCTATCCCCCCTCAAAAAAAAAATATGTACATGTAGAGATATGTAGAGAGAGAGAGAGAGACAGAGAATGATGGGCCAGAGAATATTTGGAGACACTACTTCAGATTGTGTGGTCAGGGAAAGTCTTTCTGAAAAGATGACATTTGAGACCAGAATGACATAAAAAAACAGCAGCCACTGGAAGAAGAAAGATCCAGTGTAATAAGCTTGGTGGACTGGAGATAGAAATATAGTTGCAGAGGGGCGGTGTGGAAGACAAAGCAGGGTCTAAGTTCAGGCGACTAGAACAAATACCTTATAGTGGGCGGCTTAAACAATAGACAATTATTTCTCTCAGTTCTGGAGGCTGGCAAGTCCAAGATCAAGGTGCCAGCCTATTTGATACCTCGTGCCCTCTTCCTAGTCTGCAGGGATCTTCCTGTTGTGTCCTCACATGGTGGAAAAGAGTGAGCCCTAGTCTATTTCTCTTATAAAAACACAAACCCATCATGGAGACTCTACCCTCATGATCTCATCTAAAACTAAGCACCATGGGCGCCTGGGTGGCTCAGATGGTTAAGCGTCTGCCTTCAGCTCAGGTCATGATCCCAAGGTCCTGGGATCAGGTCCCACATCGGGTTCCCTGCTCAGAGGGGATCCTGCTTCTCTCTCTGCCTCTCTCTCTCTCTCTCTGTCTCTCATGAATAAATAAATAAAATCTTAAAAAAAATAAAATAAAATAAAACTAAGCACCTCCCAAGGACCCACCTCCTAATACCATCTCATTGGGCATTAAGGTTTCAACACATGAATTTTGAGGGGACACAAACATACAGTCCATAACAGGCAGCAGGTAGGCAGGGGTGAGACCTTACAGATCATGAGGATCACGCCTGTGGATTTGGATTCTAAGTGCAATCAGAATCTGTTTGAGGGTTTTAAATAGACACAGGGCACACGATGTGATGAGCACTAGGTGTTATATGCACCTGATGAATTACTGAACACTACATCTGAAACTAATGATGTACTATATGTTGGCTAATTGAATTTAAATTAAAAAAATAAATAAATAATATTCCCCTCTTAAAAATAAAATAAATAGACACATGGCACAATTATATCATTATATATTTAATATCTGCATATTATATATGCATATCATATATATGTATACACAGTCATACACACACAGACACACATAAACACAGGCATTCACATAACATGTATTTTATTTTTCATTCATCTGACTACTGTGGAGAAAAATAGACTAAAGTGTCTAGTTGGGGGCTATTTCAATAATCCTGGCAAGACAATGGTGGATGGTAGGCAAGAGAGGTAAACGGAAGCAGGGAAATTCCAGATCTATCTGGGTGGAGCTGCTAAGAGGAGTTGGTTCCAGACAGGATAGAAGAGTGTGAGAGAAAGAACAGAATGGAGATGGCCCTCTGGAATTTGGGGTGATGTGCTGGGCAGGTAGCAATGCTGTTCAGTACTAGCCAAAAGACTGAGGAAAGAACAGGTGGTAAGGGGGATGGCGGTTGAGAAGCCAAAACTTTCTTACATGATAATTTGACTTGACACCTCTCCTAGTTATAATGGCAGAAAATAACTGCAGGCATGTTTATAACTATAGAAGGAAATAAAGCATTATTTTATAAATTACAGCAGAGATGTATTGCCATTTTAAAATTCCTTGCACATACCTTGGGGAAAGAACATAATCTATTTGTCACTGACTGAAAAACGAGCTCATGATCCATACCGCTTTAATCTATCTGTGGAATAGATTTTTCATGATTATTTAGAAACTTTTCAAGAACGAAAAAACTAATGAACAATATTTTCTTACTCGGAAATGTATTTTAAATTGCAGAGGTGTCAAAATGTTCTCCATTAAAAAATTAGGGTAAAATCTGACACTGTTAACAAATGAACAAACACAGAAACTAATTTAAAAAGCATTTTCTTTTACAATTTGATTTTTAAATAGTAGACTTATAATTCCTTAAATTGTCATGTTGAATTCCTCCTCGTGACTAAACTGGATTGCTAGAAAATAGAAATTAATTGATAGTAAAGAAATCCATTGTGATAATTCAACCAAAAATAAAAAAGGGAAGGAAAATCCTCCAAATCTGGGGACTGCGAAAATACACAGCTTCAATGTGTGAAAGCCCTTTGTTTTCACAGTGGAGGGTGGTCTGCTGTCTGGCCCATGGAACAGGCTCCAAAACATGGCTTCTCTGAAAAATAGAATTAACCAGTTAGAAATATGAATGGTGAAATAGTCAAAATCAAATGAAAATAGTACAAGGGGAAAAGTGGATGTGATTTGGTGGAGTATTAGATGATTTATCTTTATGTGATACCCGAGTGAGATTTAAAAAAAATTTCCGAAAAGCTTAGTACTTCTCTTGCTTGAGAGGCTAACTGAAACTTAGAGCACAGGAGGGAATCAATGAACAGATCATAGAAACACAGGAAAATATCCAGGGTGTGGTGGGAAAGCGTAAGATTGGCCACAGAAAGAGATCTCTCCCCTGTGTCCCACTATTGCTCTCCCAAAAGGAATAAGGGTCCTCACAAGTCCTATACACGGCAACTTGACCCAAGAAGGCTAGAATATTGTAAATCCAATGTATTATTCAGGCCTTCTCACCAAAGTGTTAGGATTTCTACACTCTCCTGGCAGTACTGGGTTTTATAAAGGAAAATCAGAACACATGGTGTCCTGGATATGGATACACTGATGAAGGACACTGTACGGAAATCTAAAATCTGGCCTCTCCAGCTTCCAAGATCCAATTATTTATACTATATGTGCTGACTAGCTGCTGCTACATCGAAATAAAACAGATAAGGGAACTTTAAGATTAGAGGACATTAATATTAACTACTGAGCAAAATTTCTAACCACTGAACAGTTATAATGCCCTTGAGATTTTATTTGAACAGCATTTCTTTTCCAGTCAGTTGTGTCACATTGTTTTCCTTAGAGATAAGAAGTGCTGTACAATATTCTTATAAAAACTACTCTTATTCTTTCCTATGTCAATGGTTTATTTTACCCAACAAGTAATTATGAATTCCTTGTTGAGAATGCTGAAATCTGTGGCTGCATAAATAAAAGACAGATAAAAAGGACTATTAAGCATTGTGCCAGGAGCTGTTAGTATGCTTGTTTTAGCAACCCTAACATCTAAACATTTATGCATTATATTTTGTAAAGAGATTGTATGGAAATGATGACCATAGTTCTATGGCATAATGGCATATCCATAAATAGACAAATTCAGACACCAAACTTCAATATGGCAGCATCAATCTACCAATTTCCAAACAAAATAAATATATAAAATATATATTCATATTATATATTCACATATATATATATATTCCAACATATCCAAATATATATTCCAATTAGGGCCTGGGGAAATTAAAAGAATTTAGAAAGGATTTAGAGTCTAAATAAGTAACATTAGATCCTGCAGCTTAAGATAAAAAATTTAGTTCTTCACTTAAATTTTAAGTAAGCGTTTTAATAACATCCAAGCTAAAAGTGAAGAATTCTAGCAAGAATAAACTCATGCCATTTCTTAAGAAAAAAAAAGTCTGAATAATATACTACAAGAGGGGCGCCTGGGTGGCTCAGTTGGTTAAGCAACTGCCTTCGGCTCAGGTCATGATCCTGGAGTCCCGGGATCGAGTCCCACATCGGGCTCCCTGCTCAGCAGGGTGTCTGCTTCTCCCTCTGACCCTCTTCCCTCTCGTGCTCTCTATCTTTCATTCTCTCTCTCTCTCGAATAAATAAAAATAAAATCTTTAAAAATATATATATACTACAAGAGTACTCAGAAAAGAAAAGCAAATCAATATGAATGTGTAAAGTAACATAAAAGACTATAATAGAAAATGCTTAAATATAAAGGGACATGACCATAACACAAGAGTCATGGAAGGTCATACTTAAAATTTTTAAGAACATTTGAGATAGCATCAGGGCGCCTGGGTGGCTCAGTCAGTTGAGCGAACAACTCTTGATTTCAGTTCAGGGCATGGTCTCAAGGTCGTGGGATTGAACCCTGCATCAGGCTCCCCACTCAGCAGGAGTCTGTTTGAGTTTCTTCCCCCTGCCCCTCCCCCACCCACATGTGTTTTCTCTCTTTCTCACTCTCTCTCTCCCCCTAAAATAAGGAAGTAAATCTTTAAAAAAAAAAAAAAGAACATTTGGGATAGCATCAAATTTTACTCCAGGAAATTTAGTATTATTTCTATGAAATAAGATGTCTATGAAGTAAATCTTCCTCCATTATGATCATGTGACCTTGGAAAAAAATATTTAACTTTTCTGTGGAAGATTAAAATTTCCAAAAATGGCAACAGCAACATGTCTGGCTTCCCATGCTCTTTCAGAAACTTACCCCACCTACTCAATAGTTAAACTTGATCACACCCCTCCTCCTTGATACTGAGCATGCCTTTATGGTCACCTTCAGTGAATACAATGTGGTAGAAATGGTGCTGTGTGACTTACAAGGCAAGGTCATAAAGGTGATCCAGCTTTGTTTTGGCTAGCTCTCTCAAGGGACACTGACTCTGTGAGAAAGCCCAGGCCACATGCAGCGGCTACCTGTAGATCTTCCAACTCAGGTCTCAGCCAGCACCGACTCCTGGCCCTGGGCAAGAACAAATGTTCAAATGATTCCAGCCCCTGGCCTTCAAATCATCCCAACTGACACGAGGTAGAACAGAGATGGGTACCCCCCGGCCCCCCATTGAACCCAACCTAAACTGCAGATAGGTGAGCAAAATGAATGGGCTCCATTCTTTAAATGGGGAGGTTTGGGGGCAATTTGTTATGCAGCAATAGATAACTGAACAGTCTCTCAGCCCTGGTTTCCCTTCTACTGGAGACAATATCAATATCTCAGACAGTTTTAAGAACTAAATGAGCTGATACAGGTCGGCATTTAGCACAGTATGTGGCACACAGAAGATAAGGTAAGTGCTAACTATTAAAGATGGGATCAGAAAATGGATCATAAGGGAAAAAGCTGTTGAGAGGCAAGCAGGAATTTAAATAAAGAGCTGGATGAGATAAAGAAGAAATGCTTTGAAATGAAAAATGTGATCGAATATTAAGCAGCAATACTGACAATATAGAATATAAAATTTTTGTTGGAAAGTCACAAGAAACCCCCCCCCAGGATTCAAAGAAAAGTGCAGAAAAATAGCATTATTACAGAAAAGATGAAGGAAACATATGATGATGATAAGGCCAAATGCTGTTCCTAAAGAGACTAAAGCAGTGACACAAAGCAAATATGTTCCTAAATACACACACACACACACACACACACACACACACATGCTGGAAAATGCAAAAAGAAAGCTTTTATAAGCTAAAAAGACACCTAACTCTACAAACTCATTATTTCTCAGATAAAAATAAAATTGAGTTATCTGAAAATATACAGAGGCAAAGTCTTGGTGAACATCAAGGAAAAAAAGAAACAACAAACATACAGGCAGGGGTAAAGTTTACTTATAAAAGAAAACAAAGCTGCCTCAAAATTATTATTAACTTAGAGATACTGTTGTGTATTTTTAAGGGCTTTATTGAGGTATAATGTCATACAGTAACCTCCACATATTTAAAGCATACAATTTAATTACATTTTGATGTATGTATAACGTGTGAAGACATCACCACAATCAAGATAATGAACATAGACACCCTCCCCAAAAGTGTCCTTCTGCCACTTTGAGCCCCTACACTCCCCCACTGTCCCCGGGCAACCACTGATCTGTCACGATTCATTAGTTTGCATTTCCAAGCATTTATATTATTGGATATGCAGTATGTACTTTTTGTCGGACCTCTTTTACTCATTGTAATTATTTTGAGATTTGGCAGTTTGTGTCTTCCAAGGAAGTTGTAGAATTTATGGGCCTAAAGTTTTCAAATTCCCTTCTTTTCTAATACAGATATTAACTGCTATAAATTTCCTCCTCTGAATGGCGCTAGGGCTGTTCCATGAATTTTGATGATTTGTCACTTCAAAATAACTTCCTAGTTCCTTTTTGATTTCTTCTTTGACTAATGAATTTTTATTTAGAAGTGCTTCCCTTAGTTTCCAAATATTTGGAGATTTTCCAAAGGTCTTTCTATTATTGATTTCTAATGTAATTCCTTTGTAGTCAGAGAACACATTTTTTGCAATTTTAATCCTCTTAAACCTACTGAGACTTGTTTTATGACCCAGAATATGGTCTCTCCTGATACATGCTCCCGTACATTTGAAAAAAGCACGTATGCTACTGCTGTTGAGTGTAGTGTTGTATAAATGTCAGTTTTGTCAAGGTGGTTGATGATATTATTTAAATCGCCTATATCCATATTTATTTTCTACTTAATCTCTCAATTATTGAGGAAGGTATATTGAACTCTGACTGTAATCATATGATTGTGCCTTTCTTCTGGCAATTCTGTCAGTTTTTGCCTCATGTATTTTGAAGCACTGATTTTAGTTGCATAAGCATTTAGAATTGTTACATCTCCTTGATGAAGGGACTCCTTAATCACTAAGAAATGACCCTCTTTATCCCTGGTATCATTCATTGCTCTGAAATATACTTCATCTGATATTAATATAGCCATTCCAGTTTTCTTTTGATTCATGTTAGCATGACATATCTTTCCCATCTATTTACTTTTAACCTGTGTCCTTCTATTTAAGGTGTACTTCTTATAGACAGCCTACTGTTTAGTCTTATTTTATCCAATCTGACAATTTCATTTACACAATTCCATTTAATGTGACTACTGACATGGTTAGCCTTTAAGACAATCATCTTGCTAGCTGATTTCCCCCCCATCTCTTCTTTCTTCCTTTTTTTTTCTATTTCTGTTTTCCTTGGGATTAATTGAATATATTCTTCTGATTCAATTTTATCTCCTCAGTTGGCTTACTAGTCTATTGCTCATTGCTTTCTTGTTTTAGTGGTTGATTTAGGATTGTGATAAATTACTCTTTAACTTATCACAATCAGCCTTCAGGTGGTATCAGACTATTTCACACATAGTACTGGACTCTTTCTCTCCTACCAGTTTGGTGCTATTGTTATCATACACTTTCCTTTTATATCTTTTAC